GAGACTGCCAGTTCAACCCCAAATATATTGATTGGGGCTTGCATAGAATTGTGCTTTCTGTTAAAGTTACTACTTCCACCTAAATAATAATATTAAAATGTATCTACATGAGGAAAATGAAATTCTGAAATTTTGAAAGTGAACTAAAAAAGAAAAACCAAAAGCATTTGCTGTCAAATTTAAAAGAAAAGCAAGAAGGAAACCATACAAATGATACACATTGTCATTTACCTTTAAAAACCAAGAGAGAGAGAGAAAAAACAGAGACCAATAAATGCATTTCATCTCAGGATTGCTTGCTGGTACACAACTCTGGTCAGGAATACAGAGATAAGCCTCAGCCTCCCATGTTCTGGCCTTATAGCTGTTGCTACCTGGTGCATATGACTTTATTTGCTTTAGTTTTCCTCTTCACTCCTCTGCTTAATGCTCAAATAGTGTTATGGGTGAACATCTGAAGCAGTGTAAACTTACATTCAGTGCAACATGACTATCCTTTTTACTTTGATTTTGCAGCCATCATAAGGGTCTACTCTAGTGTGAATTATCTTTCTCAAAGTGCTTAGGATTTTTGCCAAGAAAAGGGAAATGTAGGAGTACAAGCTGTTAAATGTAGTAATCTGTAGGAGAAAGGCATTATTTCGTGTATTTAGTAGAACAGTCAGCAATGTAACTTCGGTTGTCTCTATTACACTGTAGCACAGTGCACGTTGTACTGTGATATCATGATCCAGCGCCATCACAGCAATGAGAGCCTTGTTTCTGGGAATTCCCAAGATGGACTCTCAGCCTGCAGTTGTCGATGTATACAATTGTCGTAAGAACACTTTTTCAAAATTCCCCACTCTCCAGCTTAGCTGTCAGTGTCAGTATTCTAGGATGTGAGGCAAGCTTTTTCACTTGATTCTAAGGTTATGTATTATAGCTAGAGACATTCTGAATGTCTGTATTGAGACAAATTATTTTTATTTCTCAAGCTTTGACCTTTAAATGCCCTGACAAACCTGACCAGAAGCCCATAGAGAAGAAACTACCAGGTAAGATGTAGGAATTCATGTTGCATTTCATTGTCTCTCTTCATGTCAGAGTGATTTCCCTCATGTTCACATAAAAATGCTGTTTTTAAGCAGAACAAAAGAGTAGCAGAAAGAATATAGATGTCAAACAACATAATTTGAAATAAATGCAGATTAGTCGTTCATTTATATGTGTTTTTGACATATCCTGCACAGTACTTTATACAGTACTAGCCATCCCCTGCCACACATTGCTGTGGCCGTCTGTCTATATTTGTTTTGTGTCTGTGTGTATATGTTCATGTATATATTTGTGTATATATGTGTGTTTGCATATATATGTGTGTGTGGTTTTGCGCATGCATTGTAATTTATTTTTTTGCTTTTTAAGTCTCTTCCACTGTGTTTTTATGAGTGATGATCACATGTTGGCCTGATAGGTGTATTGTGTCCAAATTTGGTGTCAATTCGTCCAGTGGTTTTTGAGTTATGTTAATCCCACAAACAAATATTACATTTTTTATTTATATAGATTGGTAGGTATTTTCTATGCAGGGCAAATATTCCCTTTGAAGTGTCTGCACAGGATAATCTCTGCTTTGAGAACTTGTTGCAGGCCTTTGCGTCATTTAGTCAACAAACTATCTGAGGTGAACTATTCCAATTAGAGACTTGCATGTGATTGAATATTCTTCTTTCAAGCACTTTCACCATGTAAAGTTGGAATACTGGGGAAAAGGCCTTTTGATTTCTCTCCAACTTGCTAAAGGCTCTGTCAAGAGATCAGTGTAGGCAAAGTGGTACTAAATCAGTAATTCAGAAGAATTGGCATTTGGCTCTCGTTTTGTTGGAACTGAACCACATCCTGCGCAAGTTTATAGTCCTCATCAAGGACTTAGGCAGATGAGTTAGTTAGCAGGTAAAAGCCTTTCTTCCATTGGCTTCTTTGTCTGCCTGTCACTCTGTCAGACTGATGTATTCTGCCGATGTAAAATCCATAATTTTCCATGGAATTTTGTGGTGAAAATTTTGTGTCCATCCTGGTTCACTATTTATATTACTACAACATATAATCCACAAAAATAACATTCTTAAGAATATGAATGTTTTGAAAAGTATTTATTCTAAAATAAAAATCACATTTGTCACACGTTGCATAAAATGATACAGCTTTTTTTCCGAAAAGTTAATAGAAAAATATTTTTCTAAGTACATTTTGTGACAATAGAGGAGTAACTCACTATTGCTGTGCCTTTAGATAAAGCTTTAAATGAAACAGAGGGGAAATTACCCAGAACTGTATTGTTCAAATTTAGAATAGCTTTTTTTAAAACTAATATTCTCCATCAAATCTACAAAAATACACCTTCATGTTCATATGTATTGGTTTGTAATATAAGTGCATAAAGCTAGTGGTACTTGGAGCTATTTAGCATATGCAAATTTGGGACCCGAAGTCCCAGAATGACATTCATTTTCTGCAGAAGGAGGGGCATTACTTATATTGTGTCAAAATACAAAACAGCAAACGCAATAAACTATGTCTTGAAGGTCACTTAGGTCAGTCAGTCTGTTGCATTCCTAAAATGTAAATCTCCAATTTGGTTTATAGGTGGTCACTTCATACATTACTACCTTAATGACACATTGAGATAATACTAGCAATTGTATCTTCAGCTGCATGAACTCAATCTAGACAAAGCTACTTTGATATCAGTGTTTGGTGGAATTTAAGATGTGATAAAAATGCTCAGAAGGTAACTGTTTGGAATTAAACAATTTTTTCCCCTGCACAGATTCTATGACTGTTCAGAAGGTCAAAGGATTACTGTATCGGCTACTTAAAATCCCAGGTTCAAAACTGAAGCTGTCCTATGAAAGTTCTAAAGTAAGCTCCAACACAATAATGTAATCTTTTATAGGTTCAGACTTAATACAAGAGTTATAAAGCATGTTGCACTGTTAGAAGTCAATATTGTACTCTTAAGTCTATTTTATGAATCCCCATTTCTTCAAAAGAAATAATTTGGGATATTATTCAGTTTCCTTTGAATAGTGGTGATTTGATCCTAATATCTATTTTCTTTCTAAAAGTATAGAAGACTGAAATGTGTGGCTGAGGGGGAAAAGGAAAGGGCCTGAGGCTGTCAGGAATGGTGGGAGTTGACGTCCAAAACACCCGGAGGGCCAAAGTTTGCCCATGCCAGCTCTAATGCCTGTCTAAATCTTTTCTTATCCTAGATGAAAGGCAAAGAATTTGAACTGGACAATGACCTAAAACCTTTGCAGTTTTACTCTATTGAAAATGAAGATTGTGTCCTAGTACGATGGTAACAGCTTCAATGCTTTTTTCTTTAAGAGTAGTTGTATGTTGCTAGCAGAACCTCTATAATTAAGATTTAAAGATTTGGAAGAACTTTGATATCGAAAAGATGGAAAGCTATTTACCTGGCAAACCACTAAAATCTGCACTTTCTGTTAATAAATGTTCTCTTTGCAAACAGTGCCTTGCCTCTTTTTTTGAGAAGGGGGAACTTTAACTGTGGCTGGAGCTACACTGCCACAAAATCCAGTTTCAGAAGGCAGATTAAGTGCGTTGAACTGAATTGTATGGCTGTGTAGATTCAGCCCAAGTTAATGGAAGTACATTTAATCCATGGTTTGTGCTACACTGCTAACTTGCAGACGTCAGGGAAACTCTCAACGAACTGTTCTATTTCCAGGTTGCTTTGGGTTTTCTGGGCTGTATGGCCATGTTCCAAAAGCATTCTCTCTCCTGACGTTTCATTTGCATCTATGGCAGGCATCCCCAGAGGTTGCAAGGCGTGTTGGGAACTAAGCAAGTGGGGTTTACATATCTGTGGAATTTCCAGAGTGGGAGAAAGAACTCTTATCTGTTTGAGGCAGGTGTGAATGTTGCAATTGGCCACCTTGATTTTGTGGCTTTGCTGCTTCAAGCTCTGGCTGCTTATTGCTTGAGGGAATCTTTTACTGGGAGGTGATTAGCTGGCCCTGATTGTTTCTTGTATGGAATTCCTCTGATGTTTTTATTTACTGTTTTGGGTTTAGAGTTTTTTTTAATACTGGTAGCTGGATTTTATTCAATTTCATGGCTTCCTTCTTTCTGTTGAAATAAGGTGGCCAATTGTAACATTAACACCTGCTTCAAACAGACAAGAGTTCTTGCTTCCATCGTGGACATCCCACAGATATATAAACCCAATTTTCCTACTTTCCAACAGACCTCACAACCTCTGAGGATGCCTGCCATAGATGCAGACGAAACGTCAGGAGAGAATGCTTCTGAAACATGGCCATACAGCCCGGAAAACTCACAGTAACCCAATGATTCCGGCCAAGAAAGCCTTAGACAATACATTGTTCTATTTCCCATTATACAGAAAATCACAGCAAAAATCTACATAATTAAAAGCTGAGGTATTCTCATTGCCCGCCCACCCCAATGGCACACGAATACCAGGCATAACATTGATTCAGGAAGATAAAAATGCTTAACTAGCTTTCTGCATGCCTCCTGCTCCATGGAGAAAGGACATGTCATTTGTTGTATTCAACGCTTTTGCTTACACAGTCGGTCATATGCTCTTGCCTCGTGGCGGAAATACCGGTGTAGTATTTGCTGCTCCTCTCCTTACATCATTTGGAACACAGACTTACATTAAGTTTCTGCTTCTGACAGTAGTGTAACTTTTGATTCCACAAGGCTAAGCAGGCATCACATAAGGGAGATCTGCCTCAGCCAACAAGTCTTGCTCACAAGGCCTTGTTATTATACCTTTTGTTACAGTAGCTTCAAGTCTTCAAAATGTGATCTCATACATTTTGTGTATAAAATATTATCATCTTGTGTAATTTGCTAGGAAATGAAATTTCATATTTGGCTTTGTAAAACTACTGCAGAATGCATTCAGAATGGAAAGTATGCCTTTTACTAAAAATAGGGGGGAGGGAGGAATGTGCAAAACACTGCTCTAAGGGGCCATTTCCCACAAGACAAATCACCTACATGAAAGTCTTCTGTGAAGACTGTTACAGTCTCATGTGTAGTTTACCACTCGTAGTGAAGTGTTCCTCTCATGGCACATAACAGAGGGTTTGGAGCATACACAATCACTAGTGTATACACTTGTCCCACAAACTGCAAGGGGAAATGTAGAATTTCTTTTGTAAAAAGCTGTTTTTGAGGCATTCCCTTCTCTTCAAATGTGCAACCGAAAGCTCCAGTTACCCATAATGTTTGGTTTTTGTGAGGGGGAACCGACAAGCCTTCACCTTTCTTCACATGTGCAAGGATCTCCACAACGCTCCTTTATTATCCAGAGTTCTGTAAGTTCTTCTGGGGAATACTGAGGAGATGATAGCATGCCACTCTCACATGTCTTCTCACACAACCAGAGATTGTCCTGTTAAAAACATTGAGTGAGTGTTAAAAAAGGAAACAAATGCTGCAAACATTGATAAGAGATCATAACTTAGTAATGAGAGAAACCTCCCACCAGGATGGTAAAACATCCAGACGTCCCCTGGGCAACATCCTTGCAGACGGCCAATTTTCTCACACCAGAAGCGACTTGCAGTTTCTCAAGTCACGCATGATACAAAAAAAAAAAAAAAAGCTGTATCGGCTACTCTGAAAAACATCTTCAGTTTTGACAAAGATCTATTCCTAAACTACAAAACAAACTGTGCCAGGATGATCAACTTTAGCTAAACAATTAAATCCCTAAGAAGCACTAATTTTCCCACTTCTTTATACTGTGATGATATACTCATTACATAAAAATCCCATTAGTTTACACTCCAAGCAAATGTTACCAGGACTGCTGTCCCAAGGCATCAGACAATCCTATATAAACATACCTGATACCGTTTTGGCCCAATGGCTGCCATCCAAATACCCATACTCACATCTTCACCCTTAATGTGCAATTTAAGTCAAAACAAAAACAAGGAAAGCATTACTCTCAAAAATCAATAACATCCAAAATTCACAAAGCAGAAATATTTTTATTAGATCAATCAAAATCATGCAAAATTTTGAAATTCCACTGGCTTCTTCAGGGAAAATCATACAAGAGAAGGGTCACAGACCTACATTTTGTCAATATGTTATTTTAGTTGCAGTCATATCTGTGTAGGCAAAGGGCATGCCTCCCTCTGACTGTCTGGATCCTGAGAGGCAAAGAGTCATTAAATCCAGTGCATCAAATTTAAACTCCATTACCAGAATCAGTTTGCCTTGCTAACACATTCAATGAAACAATCTTACGGTAAATTTTATAAGCATATTGTTTTTATGGCATCCCCGATGTTTACTCTAAGCAATTGGAAGTACAGTTGGAGAGCTCCACCACTTCTATATAATGTGAAAGCTCAACACAGTGTAAATTTTGGAGCTTCTGGCTGCAATTCAAAATGGGACAGTAAACACACTAGATGCATAAACACTTCTGTCAAAGCTGGACAACTTCTGGAGGCTGATGGATCATTTTTGCCCTCCCTGGGAAAGTAAAAAGTGACTCTGAAAAACTTGTTTCTTAATTCTCCCAAAGGGTTTTTGTAACCCCCAAAGCCTTGAAATGATGCAATTTTGTTTCTCCCCAAGCACCTAGAATGCTAGATATATTTATATAAGTTATTCTTTAAGTTATGGGTAAGCAAAGTTCACCTTGACAAAATGTTGTTGGACTGTAACTATCAACATTCCTCACCTACTGTGCTGGCTAGGCTCATGGCAATTGCAATGTGACAAATAGGTGTCTGAAGTAGACATCCCATTTCCCCCTATCCATTCCCTCCCTTCCCATCAAATACCTACCTGATATATCTTTAGTCTATCTGAGTTGCTTGCAAGCCATTCTACAATGTCTTTGGAAATAACATAACCAGACCCACACGCAAAGGCCGGATAGGCGGGACTTGGATACTCCAGCTCTTGCCATTTCCCAGTCCGGTCAACTGCCCAATTTAGTCTGAAACTTAAGACCAAACCAATCAAGTTCTTTTCATAGGATATCAGCAAACAATTCTTTGGCTCATCTGTACAATTTAAGACTGCTGTACATAACCTCTGCAAGATAGCCCAGGGCGAAACAGCATGGCAGGTTTCAAGAAGGTGGGCCTTTCATCCATATTATTTACAACTGAAACTGTTTATCTCGAAGTTATTTGCAATTATCTTTTTCCTTTCTATTTTTGCACAAATTATGGAATAGCTCATTAATTCAATTAGATAAATATCTAACAAAACATTAAAGTAAAAGTCCAGATAATGAATAGCAAAATATGAATAAATATAAAAAGGGGTTTATTTTCCAATTGAATATTTTCAATTTTCCAATAATGTCTTTCATTAAACTTTATATTGCCAGTGTAATATAGGATACTCACTTTCCCCACCAAGTATTTGGTCTGCCCAAGTTTTTAAGCTTTATTCTGTTGAATACTGCTTCCAAATCAATGTAGCAGTCATCATCTGTTTTCAGTAGTACATCAAAACTTGCTGCTTCCACTGTCCTATAGACAAATGGAAGGAAATGATTATGCTCTATAAAAGCATCCCTTGAAATATGCAGTATGACCACTGTATGTACAGGGGATGCAATCCAACCCCCCCCCCCACACACACATCCATGAATACCTGAAACTGTGGGTAATAGTGAACCCTATATTTTGACTATACTTGGTCCAGAAGCATACAATGGAGTTGCACTGGAGGATCCACAGAGACCCACAAACACTTCCATGAAGGAAATATTTTTGAGGCATAAGTGGAATTGTGGATATTTAATCTGTGGGTAAGGATATTGTATAAAAACTTTTAGAGTCTAAACTGAAAAAAAGGTCAAGACAGTGGCACTTAACATTTTTATGGCTGGGGTGCTCCACACCAAATAATGGTTTAGAGGGTTTTTTTTCCAAGTCAGGAACAACTAGAGAAACTGCAAGTCGCTTCTGGTGTGAGAGAATTGGCCATCTGCAACGATGTTGCCCAGGGGGCACCCGGATGTTTTACCATCCTGTGAGAGGGTTCTCTCATGTCCAGATATGGGAAGCTAGAGCTGACAGATGGGAGCTCACCCAGCTCTCTGGATTCAAACCGCCAACCTTTCGGTTAGCAATCTTGTCTGCATAAGGGTTTCACCCTCTGTGCCACCGAGGACTCCTAATGATTTAGATGAAGGAATATCAGTCTATTTAGTTTTCCAGTTCTTTGGGTACCACAGCACAACAAAACATATCATCTGAAAATCCTTTTCATCACCATTTTAATGTTCTTTTTCTAGCCCTGGCAGGTTCTTTTCCATCTTAATCAGTGCCTTGGTCATCTATTTTCTATATTGAAAAAAGTAGGCTTCCATTGTATTTCATTCGCAGCAAGACACAAATAATGCAATATCCTGACTTATCCTGCAAAGGAGAAGGTAGGAGTCTTCTTCAAATAGCCCAAAAAGTAACCAAGAATTATGCAATGCGACCCAAAAGGCAGCTGCAATGGTGGGGCTGTCACCTTTCAGGCTCTGGGCCATGCCCCCCTCCCCTCTAATATTATTGAGGAAGAACTCTAAAAACTGTTCTCACTCATCCTGAAAGTATACATGGAAGAGCAAGAGAGAAAGGCACCGATCTTTGGACTAAATATAAACTTACCATCGATAAAAATTCAGTAATTTGGCTGGAACATTTCTGTAGGTATCAACAACATCAACAAAAACAATATCATCGTAAGTGTTGCTTTCTTCCTTAAGTAAGGCATCTTCCTCTTCAAGTTTGTTTATATATTGTACAAATCTCTCTGGACGACTCTGCAGGCTTTGCAAAAGCACCTCTCCTTCTGAAAGGAAGAGAGAAGCCGAAAAATTGAGGAAATTGTAACATTCAGTCCTTTTTCTGCAACATATAAACTATTCTAAGACACCTGGCATTCTCAGCATGTGTAGGACTACGACACCCAACGTGTTCCAGGCTGCAAAGCATAAATGGCTGGGTGATTCTGGGAACTGTAATCCAGCACATCTGGAAGGGGCCCAATAGGGAAACTGTATTGTATTAACAACAAAAAATGTTCAGGAGACTGGCGTATCTTCAGAGGAATGTATAGCAAGTGAAAGCAAGTACACAATCTGCCTATATCTAATCTGCCTATGTACTGTGGCTGGCATTATTTTAGATATTGCTATTTATTGCATTAAATTGCTGCTATTGTCTCTGGATTCTTTGGATATAGGCCAAGATAGAAAGTCAGAGATAAACAAAGAAATAGCACAGTAGCCAAACATCTGGTCATATTGGAAATTCCATCACAAAATGCAATATGTAGTGGACATCTTGAGTAATGAGTTTTCCCATTTAGTAGATGCTAAAAGTGCATCTACCAAGTACTGACTCCAGGGATGAATTTTTTGGAAGCAAAAAAGTGGTAGTTTGCTCTTAGTTCACTTAACTCTTCTGTAGCATATATAGAGCAGCAGAAAAGTAAGTTGACTTAATTGACATGGCTACTAGGCTTGTGCATGGATTTGGGTTGGTCAGTTACCTGTGGCCAGTCTGGCTTGTTCAACTGACCATAACGGTAAAGGCTTAACCACCATGGTTTTTTTCGGCTGAAACAGCCCACGTGGCTGCCAGGTGCAGCTTCTTCCTTTCTATACGGGAGCACATGGCGCATGCTTCCATAACCCCATTCGTCAAACCCAAACACCCTTGAAAGGAAGAAAGGAAAGGATCCCAGGAATGGAAAGGGGAGCCCTGAAAGTTCCCTATTCTTGCCAATGGGCCGGATCTTCCCAGATCTTTTGTCTGCGTAGCCGAAAAGAGTTTTTTCCATTAACCAATTTTCACGAGGCTCCCAAAAATGGATGTGGATACCCAATAAAATTCAGATACCAAAAACAGATCACTCTCCAGCTGAATTGCACAAGCTTAATTGGTACCCTTTGAAGTACACATGATACTAAACACAATGAGCAGGCAATACACATACATATATACTGTATACTTCAAATGGTAACAATATCAACCCTATTTCATTTGCAGGTGGGGAACTCATGACTAGATACTTTATATTACAACTCCCATGATACTTTGTTATTTGGGCATCCTCATATGCAGGTATTACTGGACACACTGGGATTTGTAGGCAAAAAGATCTGATGGGTCAAATCCTTATCCAAGATTTAAGGACTTGCTACTGTACAATACTAGAATAGGCATGGAAAACATTGTGGCTCACCTTTGATCTCCTTAACTGGTTTCTCTGACTTCCTTCCTATTTTTCCAACAAAATAAATTATCCCAGAAAAAGAATAATCTCCTAAAACAAGGGCCTTCCTTAAAGCAACGTGTGTTTGCTTTGTTTCTGTTCTCACTGAATGTAAATTTCTGTCAAAGTTGATCACTTTTGCATTAGAAGAAGCCCAACAAAATCATAAGAGCCAATCTTTATATACTTACCTTGAATTGTATAAATAAAGCCTCCTGCGATTCCTTCCACACCTTGTGTAAATTCATGAGGCAAAGATCCTTCCCCTGCCTATGGCACAGAGATTAAAAAGACTGGAATCACACACACTTTTACTACAGTCAACTCTCTTCTCAAACAGGTTCAGATCTCTGGAATGCAATTATGTTTTTCTCCAAAAAAAACAAAAAAAAACAAAAGCAAACACAAACAATTTTTCAGTATTGTGAGAATCTTTGGCTGGGCACCCATTCATCTTTGACAGCTCGTTCTTTGGTGGGAAACCAGACAGTTATTCAGTTGTCAAGGAATGCCTCTTCCAGCAGAAAGGCAGTAAAACAAGTGAATAACCATTTTTACCAGCACTTCCAACTCATTCTCAGCCCCCTTTGGGTTTTTTTTATGATGTTTCAAATCTGTAGTGATCTGAGAGTGACTCTAGAGTCAAGAGTTAGAATCCCTGCTCCACATCCATAACCAAATGTGGTGCAGTAGTGAGAAATGGGAGAAATGTCTCTGTTAAGTTGGTGCTTGCCATACGCACTTGTAAGGCACTACAATAAGTGACTGCTATGCATTTTTTGAGCCAACTAAAACTATATAAATAATTGACTTAACCAATTAAGCGATAAAAACTTGCAGCCCACAAACCATCATGCTGATGCCATAAAGCCACACATTATATCAGGACTGCAGTGAGCTCATCCTTTGGCTAATATTCTGGTGACTCTTTATACATCATTTCTGCAACTTATTGTACAAAGATCCCAGTTCTACACCTAATGGCCAAGATGAGAGATTAAACCTGCACCTAAAAATCCCCCATCTGCTATGGTGAACCAGAGAAGATGAGAGCTGTGTTTGCTCTCTGATAGGAACATGAACATGATGATGGAGATTTAGGACCTCATCCCACACATTCTGAGATCTGTTTCTATGTGCTTCGAAAACAGAGTCCCACGAAGGCCATTACATGACGTAAGCCCACTTCTGGTGGGACTCAGTTTCCTCAAGGCATGGAAATGAAACCCAGAATGCATTTTCAGGAATTGGGTGCTACCTGACTCCTTAAAACAGCAAAAGACAAGGAAAGTACATGGGATGGCTGGTCATCCTAAAAGACAGACCCTGACAGTAGGAAACAAAGTAAGATATGCCCTCCACTATGCCTCACTTTCCCCCCCGCTTTCCCCACTCATGGAATGAGATCCTCACATTCCTTTCTCAGAATGCTTGCTGGATTCAGACCAAAATGTGCTGATACTATTCTAAGTAAAAATAATTATTGAAGCTGTTAGTCACTACCTCTGGACTATATTTCAAAAATTATCGTGTTTAGATGTGTGACTGTGTCCCACAAAAATGGCTTTCACTGACCATCAAATGATTAGTACTGTATTCAGAGCAGACAGTTGCCTTTCTGAAATAAGCCATATATTTAACAACGCATTGACTACTTTTATCTCAAGACAAATCTTACTAACATTGAACATCTCTCTACTTGTGAAAACCAAAAAAGCTAATGTGATTAAAGAGAGTCATGTTCTATATTAGTGGGAGAAGTTATCTATAAATATTTCACATTTTCCCCTCAGAATGCAAATATTCATTCTCTATTTTGTTGAATATTCAACATTTTGCAAATCTGTATTTTATTTGTCTGCTTCCACGCACAGAAACCTCTGTGATAATTTGTTACAGCCTTATACAGACTTTTCAGTGGACACAGCATTCCAGATGTAGGGCAGCATTTATTTATCTAAAGGAATTATGATGTTTTGTTGCTTTATTCTATTCCTAGCATTGTCTAATTCTGTCATAATTACTTCTGTAAATTGTTCTATGCTGAATGTTTCCCAGTTCATAAGCTAAGCAACTATTCCACAAAGTGAATTTAAAATGAAATATTTAGTAAGAAGCCCTAAGAGGCCAGAAACGTAAGCTGTCACCTCTAAAGACTTTAATATTTTGAATAGCTGTGTAACACAAGAATATCTTACTCAAAATGGTTAAAAGAAAGAGATAAACCTCTCAAAAACAACAGTTCAATTTCCAGAAAAAAAGCAGTAAGACCAAGAGGTTAAAAGATTAGATAAGAAATCAGAGCTGCTAACAAGGACAAGTTTTGGACAACACCGCCCAGAATCTCCAAGCAACCATGGTTGCCAGACATGGGACACAGAGGATTCTGGGAACTGTATTCCTGACATTTTTGCAAGCTTGGAATCTGCCATGCCTGAAAGTTTATCAAAACACTGTTTTGTTATAGGTATTGCATGCTGGAATAAAAGACCAACCGTAATGATTCTGAAGACACCTCCACCATCATTCACCATCACTTTATGAAGATTTCTAGAAACAAGGCCTTGTAGATCCTGACTCTCCCATACAATCGTACCTTCAAAACTCTGTCAAAACAAGCAACACTTACTGTGAACAATGTATTTGTATCTGCATACATTAGAGACATGTATTTGTCAAATCATTCAAGACGTCATGGACAATAAAGTAAAATTCAAGCATATATCTAAGCTAAGATCTGCATGACATAATAATACTAATATCCTTCCCTAAGGTAGAGTACAGTATTAAAAAACCAGAAACAAGTCAAATTTAGTTTCAGACCATTTAATGTTTTTAGCCTAACTTTTGATCATTGCCAGCTTAATTGTTCTGATGTACCGTAATTGCACACCTGCATTTTTAAAGATAGTGATTTGAAGGGGGGGGGACCCTAATAACTTAAACCGAAACCCTAATTACCTACAAATAAATACTGAATGCTAAGATTCTTCTACATGGCCTAGATATAGAAGGTTGGGATCCTACGTTCTCAGATGAAATTACAATGACAAAGCTCCACTTTTCTTGTTTATTCATTCAGTCGCTTATGACTCTTTGTGACCTTATGGACCAGCTCATGCCAGAGTTCCCTGTCGGCTGTCACCACCCCCAGCTCCTTCAGAGTCAAGCCAGTCACTTCAGGGATACCATCCATCCATCTTGCCCATGGTTGGCCCCTCTTCCTTTTTCCTTCCATTTCTCCAGCATCATTGTCTTCTCCAAGCTTTCCTGTCTTCTCATGTTGTGGCCAAAGTGCTTCATCTTTGTCTCTAATGTCCTTCCCTCTAATGAGCACTCGGGCTTTATTTCCTGAAATATAGACTGGTTGGATCTTCTTGCGGTCCAAGGCACTCTCAGAATTTTCCTCCAACACCACAGTTCAAAAGCATCTATCTTCCTTCACTCAGCCTTCCTTATGGTCCAGCTCTCATATCCGTAGGTTACTATGAAAAATACCATTGCTTTAACTATGCAGATCTTCAAAGCTCCACTATCAGAACTATATTTAAATATTACCTTTAAAAAACACGTTTTCCACTTGCAAAGCCCCAACCAAAGGGATTCCAAGATTCTGCATATCAAAAACCAGGATTTTCTGGATTTAGTGCCATTTTTTAGTATTGTGGCAACTGCTTGGCCTGGTACGGTACCAGGTTTGCTGCCATACGATGTTTGAAATAAGCTAGGTTCTGCCTGCAACCTCCCTTCCACTTTTCTGAAAATAAAGCCCATAGGTCACAAAGACACTTATTTTATGTATTTATTTATTTTATTTGTTTACTTCATTTCTACCCTGCCCTTCTCGACCCAAGAGGGGACTCAAGGCAGCTTATAAATTTGGCAAAAATTTGATGCCGCACAGGTAAACAATGAAACACATCTCATAAAAAATATAAACAATCTAAGCATATAAACAATTAAAACTCGTAACAATCTGTCAAGCAGATTTACATATAAATGAACATATAAATGTATGTACTAGATTTTGATCTAAAAACAGTTTTTCTCCTCCAGCTCTGCTACTCTCTATATTACACAGGCATAAGATCGCAGCTTCATTCAGTGTGTTAATTTGATCTTGTAGCCACGACTGGAAATCCTTATTTACTGTGAATCTCAAGTATTAAGGAATATGCACTTCCTCAGTAAAGAGTTTGGAGAGAAATAAAATGGAAGGCGCAACTTCAACTATCCTCCATGCACAAACAATGCACGACACATTGATTAGTTAGTTGTTAAAGGTGGTGACTAATCTTCATTAAAGATGCAAAGCCACCCACCCAGTCCCTCAAGCCAACTGCTACTTATGCTTACACAGAGAACAGATGTCCTCCCTTCCTTTCAGCTAAGTGGGAGCTCAACTGCCCTTCCCTGTATCCCAGGGTGGAGATTGAAAACTCAGTCCTATCCATTAACTTGTGTTGCAGGAAAACAAATTAACACACAGAAAGTTCTGCGACACATTAAAGATCAACAGATGTATTATAAAATTAGCCGCTGTGAACTTTCGTCCATACTAATAAGTGCAAAGAGTGCTATTCCCAATTCGAAGTACAGTTCACCATCCACATTTGTTAGGCTGAGGACCCCCACAAAAATGGAAAAAATGTGAAATAAAAACCCCTACATTTTTTTACTTGAGAGAACATCTTTCTAGGATACTCTAGACTTTCAGCACAACTCAACAGTCAGCATTTAGCAAAAGTTGACCATGGAGTCACACTAAAGAACCTTCAAATGCTTAGAAGAATATTCTGTTTTGGAATACCTAGGTCTTCCAGTGCAACTCAATGATGGAAAGTGACCATAGAGTCACACTGGAGGACTTAGAAATTCCTCAAGAGAACATATTAATCAAATCCAAAAATTATCAAATCTGCAAAATTGAAATTTGCGATGTGTGTGCATGTGTGTTTTAGAGAGGAGAAGGGAACTATGAGATAAGAAAGGAACAAAGTGTAAGACATGCGGATATTATGGAGCAAATGTGGCATAGCAGTTTGAGGGTTGGACTAGGACACTTCAAGACCAGGGTTCAATTTCCTACTTGGCCATGGAAAACCACTGGGTGAGAGATACACTCTCACATAGAACAACAGTAGCTGCAGATACTATCAATTAGAGGTTAAATATAATATAAAGCACAAGTTGTAACAGCAGTGATATGTAACACAATTAGAGAACTAGTAGTAAGCATGTTAAATCTGAAGTCCCACCATGCTCAATGAGGCTTATTGCCAACATAGTGAGCCTAAGGGCCCTTCCAGACAGGCCCTTTATCCCTGGATCTGATCTCAGGTTTTCTGTTTATCCCAGATTATCTGGCAGTGCCGAGTCATATAATCCAGTTTAAAGCAGAAAACCTGGGATCAGATCCTGGGATAGAGGGTCTGTCTGGAAGGGCCCTTAGTCTTTTTGAGAAGACTATTTCCCTTCCTAGTCAGAAGGAACTGCAAAAATATGGTAACAGCTTGGTGACCAGGAGACCTCCTAGAAATCAAGGCCCACAGAAACACTCTTTGTTAAGATAATCTGCCAGCAGATGTTGTACATGTGGAGTTCAGGTTCTGCACAACACTGTTTTACATTCTTCCTCCTCACCTTGCGTTCACATTCCGGTGACAGAGATTTGTAGAAGGTTTTAGGGAGCAGGGTGCACTGCTATTTCAGAGAAACTGTCATCCTTGTTTTTAACATCACATTCAGAGAGTTATGTGTATAGATATCTGGAGTTGTTTTGAATGTAATTATAAACACACATGCTAAATTTTAAAACAATGAAATCTACTGTTTAAAATATATGGTACACACCTAGTTGATGTTCAAAAGCATACAACTAGGCACAAGGAAAACACTGGGCTCCCAAAAATGCATTTCCCTTCAAACACTAATTCAGGTCTTCAGAAGGGGGAGAATAATTTGTTGGGGTGATCCATCAAATAAAACTAGATATCTTATCATCTCCCCCTGAGCACTATCCTTCCCTGTCAATGTCCCCTTCAATTCCTAGATTGTGTGGCCTGAGTGCAGTCACACAGCCTTGCACTTTATCCCATGCCCTCTCTCCATTGTTATACCTCTGCAGTTATAGTATTCTCTTGTCCTATTGTTTACAGCCTGGCCACATTTACAGCAGACTACTGTCATTGGTTGATGAGTGTTTTATTGAGTCTTAGTTATTTTATATGCTTATGCGCTTTACTTAATTATATTTCTACTGTGTTTTATTTTATGTTCTGTTTTTAGGCACCTTGTGCCATGTGTAAGCCGCACCAAGTCCCTTTGGGGAGATGGGGCGGGATATAAAAATAAAGTTTACCCGTCAGAATGTATCTCCTGCTATGAACCACCTCAGAGATTAAGATCATTTGGGAATGTCCTGCTCTCGGTCCCACCTTCTTCAAAAGCATGGATGGAGGGGATGAGAGGACCTTCTCAGTGGTGGCCCCTCAGCTGTGTAACTCTTTCCCTAGTGACATTAGATCAGCCCCCTCCCTCCTAGCCTTCAGAAGCAGTAAAATGGCTCAGGAAGCAGGCCTTCGAAGAAGCAGTAAAATAATATAATTGGAATATGTGCAATGACTATGGAATGGCCTCAGACTACTATTTTTGGATGGCGTGAATGTAATTTAATTTTTTAAATATGTATTAATTTTAATTCAATGGATTTAAAGTTTAATGTTGTATGTGTTTAAGGCATTGAATAACTGCCATATGTAAGCCACCTCAAGTACTCCTTGGGGTAGAGAAAGGTGGAGTATAAAAAGGGGAAATAAATTATTATTTACTATTATTGTTATTATTATATTTCCCAAAATCTTCAGGAAAGGGGATTTCATACTTGCCAAAGCAGTGTTGTTTTTTTCGAACCTTAAAAAGCAATGTAACAACTGAAACGAATATAACAACTGAAATAACCTAATATTGTATTACGAAGTTAAATGCATCTTCCACACAAATCCCAAAACAGATTGCAAATGTTTCGTGCAAACAAACTCCCCCTTTCATGTTTGGACAGCTGAATAGGAAAGCAGGCGGTTAGTGAACCCCATTTGTAAGTTTGCCAGAATGCATCTCGTGACACACCTCTCCCACTCCATTTTGGTAATTTTCCATTTAGCACTTATCTAACTGATTCTCTGACCCCCACAGAAAAACAAAAATTGGTTCCACTTTGCAATCAAGAAAGGTATCTCCCTTATTTGGGGGAAATTTGGGAGAGTGCAGATAGAAAAGTATGCAATGCATCTGCCTTTTTTTCTTTGCCTGAAATTATCAAATTATCCACAAGTCAATTTTGAGGATTCCTGCTGGTTGGAAATGCAGTTACAACAAAAGCGATTTTCACAGGTGCAATTATCTCTTGAATGTATTTTCTTTTTACTCTGATATTCCTCTGTACTCAAATTTCATTGTATTTTCATCCAGTTTAACATTTTTTATTGTCTACTTAAGATATCCATTGGTCTCCACCCCCATCCCTCCCAACAGTAGTGGGAAAACACACTCAAGTAACATATTTTACACAGAGCAATGAACTGCTGAGTGTCTCAAAGACACTTCTGTAGAAGTCTAACATCATCAGCTCATTTGGTCCCACTGTGTCGCATTGAAGGCTGCCTACTGAGGCGGTGCAATTCAAAATGTAGAGCCTAGGCTGTTTTAGACTTCCTCCAACTCTTTGTGTGGTTTTATTACTTTGAAAAATTGCACAGCTGGGGATTGGAGCCAGCACAGAAAGCTCCAACGTAGAAAATCTATTGCTTCTAATAATGTAATTATGCAGTCAGTTATATTATTTGATTCCAGCTCTTTCTTCACTTATATGTAAAGCATAGAGAGGGGGAGAGAAAACACTGCAACAAAATCAAATTAGTATTGTTTTTGTAACACCTGGTGAATGTATTTATATACACATTTGCGCATAAGCTTTCACTCCCTGAGAAAAGCTTACTTTCCCACCAAGATTTAGAAATTTAGCTTATCAATGATACTGGGCTGTAAGACGCTCATCAAAAGTCTTAACACTACTGAAAGAGGAATGGTGGCATACACACAATGCAACGTTTCTTGCATATTTAAATGCCCCTTGATTGCAACCCAAGTGCCTTTGCATCCAGTAAAGCAACTGAACAGATACCCTGACATAACAATACAATTCTCTCTGAAAAATTCCAGGACAATGTTGCCTTATTATTTTTATTATTGTAATGTATTAATGCAATGTAACAAAATAAACAAGATTGAGGCAAGAATGAAATCAATGCTACTTTAACCTGTTCTCCTACAAAGTCTACCACTTTATCAATTTACTTTGGGTATACACTCCCTCATCCTTAATCAGACTGATGTTTTCAGAAACAAAATCAATCTACCCTGAAAGTTAAGTGGCCTGAAGCCACCCTTTTTCTCTCTTTCGCTCTTCCTAAGAGCATCAAAAAGACAGATTGCTCCAACCCAGAAGATGGATAAGCTTTGCTGGGCAGATGGTTAAACTTGACTCTTATCCACCAACAACCAATCTCATTTAGTTTGTTTATTTTGGAGGTCTGAGAGTTTGTATTTATTTATTTTTTAGTTTGGGGTTTTATCAAAAAAAAGTCAGCTGTGTTCCAACTCTGAAAATGGATAAGCTTCACTGAGCAGTTGGTTAAATTTTACCCACTTCATCACCAACCCGTCTCACTTGATCTGTTTATTTTGTTTTCTGTTTTAGTTGATGTTTATCTTTTGGTTTTGGTTTATTTTCTAATACATTAAAGCCAAGCACCCTCAAATAAAAATTATGGTACAGTTACAGTGAACAAAGATCTAAAGTGAAAGCCAATAATATTTTTTTAAACAACCACCTGAAGAAAAGTAATTTGCATTATATTCTGTAAATAAACACAAGTGTGGGAAGGGAGTAATAAAAAAATCTGGTAGGAACTCCCTGCAACTTCACTGTCAACTAAAGAGAGGACAACACTGAGGCACCCATGCTCTCCTCCTAAAATACAGGAAAAAGAAGCAACTCCAAAGGCATGCTCGATTCAAAAAACTAGAATTTATTGGTCGGTTTCTCTAGAGTTGAAGAAGCCAGCCACTCCACTCTGTCTCTTCTAAATGTTAAGACTTCATGAATGTTGCCAGGCCAACAATGACTACTGCCAGCTCCCTGACCTCAGAAAACAACATCAAATTATTTCTCAGATTAACTCTAGTGTCTAAAAGACTGCTTTAGATATTATGGAAACAAGTACATTTGCTACAAGACATGTATGTGAAAAGGAAAGATAGTCTTCTGTTTCTGGAAAGTCTGTTGCTCAGTCGATACATGTGCTGCATATAAACTACGCATGGGCAAACTTCAGCCCCCCAGGTGTTTTGGACTCCAACTCCCACAATTCCTCACATCCTTGGCCCTTTCCTTTTCCCCCTGAGATGCTTAAGTTTGCTCATGCCTGCTATAAACACTGAATTTCTAAAGGAACATACAAAAATACTTTGCATAAAAATATCTTGCGTGAAGCTACCCTAAATAGATTAACCATGTCAGCTATTAAATCTAAGTACTTCCAAAAGAAAGTAAACTCTTTCTAGACAATTTACAAAAAGACTTAAACTATGAAATATGACAACTATTTCTTTCTTTCCAGTTTCTCAAGAGAACTGCTATTTAGAGACATATGAACTCTATATTGAATGAAATGAACTATCAGATTATAAAGTCACATCATTTATGTATTTATTTAGGTAGGTACTATTGCATTAACATGTTGTATGCCTTAACCGTACAATGTTCATGTCTATCTTAGTGTTCTTCCCTGCCTGCCAAATGCAATCTTCACTCACAGAATATGAACAGATGCTATATCACTGCCATCCATTCAAAATGAATGCCTTTTGTATCCATAATTAGAGATACTTTCTTCCTAACAATGAGAAGTGAAAATAACACTCTAAGACCCAGATATATGTTTAAATAAGTTTGCTTTAAAATAGTTTGATTCATAATATCAACAAAACCTGTACAAATATAGTAAGGAACTGGGAGAACATAAGCAGTCATTGTTAAAACACAACCTTTTCAGATATAATGCAAACATATGGTGTGGCAATACACATACAAAGCTCTAGGTATTCTTTTTTTCCCCTTTGGTGGGATTGGAAGATAAGAAGCTCCAGCAAGTCTTACTTAACCTGGCTGCCTCATCTGCTTCAACCTCTGATCTTCTCACAATCCTAGGAGACCTCTCTTTGTAGCACAATAAAATGCTTTTATTCTGCAGCAGTTGGTGGTTTCCATGTCAATACTGAATACGATGCTCAGAACTGGTTAATGCCTTGGCTAGCTTTGTCCGGGCATATCTTGGTTAACAAAGCATCTGATATTCTGGTTCCTTTTTACCAAGGCTTTCCTTTTCCTCCTCATCCTCTAGAACAGTGGTTTTCAACCTGTGGGTCCCAAAGTGTTTTGGCCGACAACTCCCAGAAATCCCAGCCAGTTTACCAACTATTAGGATTTCTTGGAGTTGAAGGCCAAAACATCTGGGGACTCACAGGTTGAGAACCACTGGTCTAGAAACTTGTAATTTTGGGAAGATGGAAAAGGAGGGCTTGAAAAACACAAATAGTCAGTGTCCCATTGTAGTAATATATCTGCAGTGAACAATGCACTAAACAAAGCTGAAGCTGGGAAAGAGTAATGGCTTATTCCAATAGTAGTAATAATAATATTTGTTATTTGTACCCCGCCACCATCTTCTCGGAGGGACTCGGGGTGGCTCGCAAGAGAACATTTGAAGTGCCAGACATAGAACAAATAATACATAAGCCTCTAGAACAACATAAATCCACAAACAATAAACACATGTAAACCTCATCTAGTAAAATTTTAAAATTCATAAAACACAGTAGAGCCTGGGGGTAAGACTAGCTGTCTTCCATTAACAGTCCAAAATGATGGAGTGAGCCATCATCAAATCCTCAAATCTGGCCATGAACTACACAAAGTCAAAAGCCTGTCTAAAAAACCATGTTTTTAAACTAGTATGGAAGTCTTAAAGCGTGGGGGTTAATCTAATCTCTCTAGGGAGGGCATTCCAGATCCGAGGGGCCATCACTGAGGACATTTCTCTCATCCCCACCAACTGTGCTTGAGACAGTGGTGGGACCAAGAGAGGGCCTCCCCAGTAGATCTCAAAGCCTGTGCCAGTTCATAGAAGGAGGTGCGGTCACGAAGATAGATTAGACTCGAAATGTATAGGGCTTTATAGGTGATAACCTGCACTTTGAATTGGGTCCGGAAACTTATCGGAAGCCAATGGAGCTGCTTTAATAGCGGCATGGTATGTTCCCTATAGTTAGTAGAAGTGGTAGAATGACAGTAAACTGTTTTCAGCATTTGGTTTTAACTACAGGTGTCTCACTTATTTTTAGAATGCAGTCATGATAAAGATTTGCAATTTTCAAATTTTCAAAAGAAAAATAATTTTCCTGTACGGTTCTTTACACTTCCTTCTCTGAGCTGAAATTTAAACCAAATTTTAAGTCTGGGACATAATAAATTCTCAACCCACTACATTATCAGTGCAACATCATTAATTCACAAAATCCTGCTGTTTTATCTAATGCTTCCTCTTCTTTTCACCCCATGAACAACGGCTGCTGAAAATCTTCTCTCTACCAAAGCTTGCAAACAATTGTCATGAAAGATTACAATGCCACTTACCCCATATGTCATTAAGTCATTAAGATCTTAAGAAGATTCTTGTTGCTTACAGAAAAGCAGATTTATAGACCTCTGAGCTGCAAAAAAAGCGGATACTACTGCCTAGCATTTGTAACATTTGACAATCTCAACACCATATAGGACAAGTAAATATGTTATGCATCAGTGTTAAGCATCAGCTTTATATATGTCCCATCTTATATCGTGTACATACCTCAGGTAGAATGAACTGTTCCACAGGTTTGTACCAAAGTCTGTTCACTTGCACTCCACAGCTAGGTGGACTAAAACGAGCACTAAAAAGCGCTTCCTATGAAAAGAATAAAAAAGCACATTTGTAAGCTGAGAGTATCATCCACATAGCATATGTGTACATTCTTGGATGGTTCATAACAGAATATATACATATATATAATTGCCTCTGATCACAAGTGAACTTCCCCCATGATTTTTAGATGACATAAGCATTTTAAATAAAATCTCAGCTTTTTAAGGATTCTAGAGCCAATTAGATACAAATTGGTAGCAGACTGTCTGCCAGTTTGCTACCTAGCACAATTTAAAGTGTTGGCTTTACCCTATAGAGCTCTAAGTGGTTCCGGTCCAGCTTACCTATCTGAACGCATCTCGCTCTATGAACCATCTTGGAGATTAAGATCTTCTGGGGAGGCCCTGCTCTCAGTCTCACCTCCGCAGATGTAGTTGGTAGAGACGAGAGACAGGGCCTTCTCAGTGGTGGCCACTTGGTTCTGGAACTCCCTCCCTAGTGACATCAGATGAGCCCCCTCCTTCCTAACCTTTAGGAAAAAAATTGAAAACTTGGATGTAGGACCAAGCATTTGGATAATTGATTAGTGCAATATGTGAACATGGAATGATGCAATGATAATTGGAATGGCCTGGACCACGTTATTGGATGATGTGATTTTAATAATGTTAATGTTGATATGTTTTTAGCAAATGTTTTAATGTATATGTTTGTTTGCCAGATATTATGTAATGTATGGCATCAAATTGTACCTCTATGTGCGCTGCTCTGAGTCCCTTTGGGGGTTGAGAAGGGTGGATATAAATATGGCAAATAAATAAATATAGCTGGACAATTGTAAAAAAGCAGGGAAGATAATTACCAATTATGTTTTCAAGATTCTATAACAGCATTTCAGGACTTCAGCAAGTTCAATTCACACTTCAGTGTACCGATTTCTGAATTAAAATTATCTATGTCTACCAAGCACAATGTGGAACTTGCCAGTTCAATGTTAATGGCATGCAAACCAAGCTATAAGTCTCCAGTCCAATACAAATGCTCTTCCTTCCTTCCTTCCTTCCTTCCTTCCTTCCTTCCTTCCTTCCTTCCTTCCTTCCTTTTTCAACATATGCAAGAAAATGAATTAAGACATACAATGGACCCTCTACATTTGCAGCTTCAACTTCTGAGTATTTGAATAATGTGTTCTCTAGGAATCTCTAGGCCTTCCAGCATTATTTTATGATCAGCAGATACCAAATTTTGACCATATGTTCATGCTAGAGGACCTAGAGATTTCTAGAGAGGTGTTCTCATAGGTTTAAAATAGTAGGTTTTTCAAAATTTGCAGATTTTCCATTTTTGTGTGCATGCCTAACCTGTATGAAAATGTCCTGTTGTATTTCTCTGTCAATCTCTCCTTTGTCTCAAATCATGGAATCAAGAATTTTGAGGAAAGGACAGAAGTCTAAAGGGACTCCCCATACTTAGAGAGCTGCTAGGTTGAATAGTGGACAATGGTCACACTGACTCAATAGTCTGGAAATGAAGAGATTAATACAGAATGTGGCAAAACCTATCACCAGATCACAATGATAAATATCTTAATTATGATATGCAGCTGGCAAACTCTGCTACTTAAAGAATACTTAAGCTCAAACTCAAGTTTATTATACATAGCCTCCAACCCTTATGCTATCCCATAATAAATGGTATGGGAAGCTGCTTTAGTTATTATGATTTATGTCACACGAGAGCTCTCAGAAATCTCTCTCATGCATCACAGCCATTATGTCAGAAATGTTTTATGCACTAGGCGCTCGTACTGAAAATGAGAAGTGAATGTTATTATATGAGCTTCAGTTTTTATGCTGAAACCTACAAATTTGACAATGCAGAACTGGGGAGAGCTAGAACACAGCTTATGTCAGTCACGTGGGTGGGAAATGAAGGAAATGATGCCAGAGTTTTTGAAAGTAAGTCTAACCAAACTTCAGCTCACTCAGCAAGTTTGTCTAAGATTAGTCAGTCAAACTCAGAGACTGTTCAGGTCCCTTGCTCCCAAAACTCAAGGCTTTTGTGAGTTGTGTCTTGCAAGCGAGCTCAGAAACTGGGTTTTTCTGGGGCAAAGGATATATAGTGAATCTACACTGTATAAGTAATGCAATTTGACAGCACTTTACTGCCATGGCTCAGTGCTATGGAATCATGTAAGTTGTAGTTTTATAAGGCTTTTTTTCTTCTTTGCCAAAGATGCACCAAACAACAACTTAAAGGATTCCACAGCATTGAGCAAAAGCATTAAAGAGTGCTGCCAAACTGCATTAATTCTACAGTGAAGAGCAAGCCATAATTTAAACCGGCAGTTAAAACACTAAAGAACAGAGCCACTGTTTGGTTTTTGACAATAAAGTGAAATCAAACTAAAACACACACACACCAATACAAGGAATGAACTGAGAATTTCAGAAGATAGAGTAGATCTAGACAAGGAAGAGAAGGACTCCAGATATGGGATTTTGCTTTTGGTCAACTGAAAACTTAATCAGAAAACAATTTAGAATATTTGCGTAGTGTGTAGTGAAACAACACAATGCTATTTTAAAATGAGAAAAGGATGTGGACAGGATACCTGGTGAGGAGAGAACTACCAAGTATGTATTAGACCACTGCCCTTCCTAATAGATTAAACAGGCCAGAAGGAGACAGAATAAGTGGGTAAGGACAGTAAGTAAAGCCTTCTTACAACAAGGGAGGTCCAGCCACACACACACACACACACACACAGAGAGAGAGAGAGAGAGAGAGAGAGAGAGAGAGAGAGAGAAATAAATATATACTTTAGATAGCATAGGGAAGGGTTCACACCCCCATGGTGTTTGTTTTGCTGTCTGTGCCTCTTTTCAGAAAATTTCGTCTCACTTTCTGTTCCTGTGATAATTGCATTTTGTAGCTCATTGTGGCTTGCTGTAGAAACAATGATTGGAAATAAAGCTTCAGTGGAGACCTCTTTTCCCCAATATAACTCTTTTAGGAGTGAATTTCCCTTCCAAGGGGAAGATTTCTCTCACTTCCTGTTGTCTCACCCCCATTCTTAACTGTGAATCGTTTGTAAGACAGATGTTTGTAACTTGGGGAATACCTGTATTCCTATGATGAATTTAATGTTTTTAGCTTTATAGAATGTCATTCAATAGTTTTACACTTTTTATTGGCACATTTATTTATTTATCACACTTTTATCCTGCCCTTTTCAGCCCGAAGGCGACTCAGGGCAGCATACAGACTGGGAACAATTAGATGCCAAACACACATAAATACATTGTTTAAAACAGGTTAAATCACATAATAAAATTCATATAAAAACAATTTAAAACTATTAAAATCAATGACTTCCAGGTTTAAATCCATGTCCATTTGCATCGTTAAGCTGTTCCATATTCGTTCTCAATACTGAGTTATCTGGTTACAATGAGGTTCCAAAAGCTTGCTCGAAGAGCCAGGTTTTTACTCAGGAGGGAGGGGACCAATCTAATATCCCCAGGAAGGGAGTTCCACAGCTGAGGGGCCACCACTGAGAAGGCCCTGTCCCTCGTCCCCAACAAGCACGCCTGTGAAGCAGGTGGGATCGAGAGCAGGGCCTCCCTAGATGATCTTAAATTCCTGGAAAGTTCGTAAGGGGAGACATGATAAGATAGATACGTTTTTGTATAGTTATTACTAATTTGCAAACTACCTTCAGTCCCATTATTGGTAGATGCAAATAAATAAATAAAAAATACATAAATAAGGAAGTTGCAAAACTACAATCCTTGGTGAATGTTCACTCTTCACAGGTATCTGTTACTTCTTTGTCATGCTACACCTAACTTTAGCATGACTGAACAGGTTGCAGATTTAGTTCAATCTGTTTAAGATAACTACAGATTCATACCTCCTGTTCCGCTTGGTACAGTTTTACTGTGATGTTTCTCTGGAATCCTAAACCTTTAGCATCATAAAATACCCCAAGACTTCTGATGACGATTGGATAGAGGATTTTGAAATGCACACTGACAACTCTGTCTTCTGACAGCATGGAAGTATCATCCTCTGGCAAAGTGAATGCTTCAATTTCTTGATTCAGAACTATTGAAAAAAATGAACCAAGACTGTGGCATGAGCCTAAAGGCGAAAGGCACTTGAAATTCTAGAATAGTTTTATAACATAAAGTACAAAATGCTTCCCTATTAATTACAATAACTGCCCAAAAGATCAAACCTCATAAAAATTATTTATTTTCCGACAACAACTTCTAAAATCTGCATCATAATAGCTATGCTGAGTGATTCTGAAAGTGTAGTATAGCATTTTCGCAACAAGCAATTCCTCGCAAGGAGCTAATACGTTTTCAAAAGTTTAACAGCAATAATCACACAGTAAATAATGAACAATTTATCTGTTGCCAACATCTTTGAAAAGCTTGAAATTCTTACCTGGATTAGTGATGTTCAGAAGTCTGCAAGAATATGGATCTTCTCTATCTTCCACTGGCACATCACATCCATGTGCACCAATTATAAACTTCACAAGGACACTAACATAGTATTAACAACATTTATTGATTTTTGGTCCCATCATATTTAGAACAAATTATTCCCCCCCCCTCCTCAAATTAGGATATTTAGAATGTATTATGGAGATTAAATTACATTTTAGGATAACCACCAGCCAATGTTGATGTTTTACACAAAAATAAAAATAAAATGAGCCTAGGGAATGCCCAGCTTGCCAATTTTAAAAAGTATTTCAGTGTCTATTATCTAATTAATGAGGGTGTAGCAGTTGCTTCCAGTTACTTATTTTACAATAAGTGTATACCTTTATAGACATCTATAAGATTAGGTGCAAATCTATTCTACTCACTAGTCTATTCTACTCTACTACCAATACAGTACAACCCCTATATATGTGGGGGATACATTCCAAAAACCCTCTGTGGATACCCGAAATTATGCATAATAGCCTTATATTTTTCCTACAATTGAACCAGAAGCATACCACAAAATCATACCCGGAGGACCTTGAGCAGAACTTTCCAAACATTCCATGTTGGAGACACACTTTTAAGATATGTATCATTTTGTGACACAGTAATTCAGTTTTATTAGCAATGAAGTGGTTGAACCAACCCCTTATAAGAGATATAGGCCCATAGGCCCACATATAAATTGTGATAACAAAATGTTTGAGGACACAACATATCACATGAAAATCTTTCAGATATATGATTTCTAAGATAATAACATATATTTCCAAGATTTTTGTTATTTCTCATTATATTCATGTGACACATCTACACACTGCAGCTGATACAGTAATGTGCCATACACAGTTTGGAAAGTTCTGACCTAGAAAGTCCCACAAACACTTGGGAAGTGAATATTTTTTTGAAATGTGTGTAAGGTAAACTTTGAATGTCGACATCATGGATAAGGGGGCTGTACTGTATGGTCCAATAAAAATACAGATCTAAATGCATAACACTGAAACATTTTGCAAAGTTACAGCTATATGAGGCAATGTGAAGTAAAAATGCTTTAAACTTAGATCAGGGCATATTTTGTCACTGCATTCAGAAGCAGGCAACAGAAATTTCTATATATTATATGTTTTTTAAAAAAATGTAATCTAGGAATATCTTGAACTAATCCCATACATAAGCAAGAACCCTAAGTTTGGAGTATCATAAGAGAAGGGGGAATCAGTACTGGGAGTTACCGTTGGCTAAGTCCTGGGTGTTGCTTCAAATGCCTGAACCAAGTGTTCCTTATAGCGTTCCGCAGCCCCTCATTATGTCGTGCCGACAGCACCCCAACAATGACATCATAATGTTTCGGTTTCCAGTGAGGAAAGAAAGCCAGTAGACCTAGGAGGAAATACACATTTTGTTATTCCAAAAGTAAGGATTGAGACAGGATCTTTTATACATGAAACGAAGGGCATTTAGTGAATATTGATAAAGGTTCAACCCGTAAGATTCACTGGAATGTTAGGGAAAGAGAAAAATCAGTTTTGGCATTCAGAAACAGATATAGAGTTCAGCAGCTGAGAAGAAAATGAAACTAGTTAGCTAAAGAAAGATAGTAATTCTTAGGCAGCAACTTCTTGATACTAAACACTGCTTTAATTATGCAATTACTCACAGACTCATTAACAAGAATTAATTAAATGGAATAAACAAATAGAATTATTTTTTCAAAGAAAAAATGGGTGGCTTAGATTCTGAGTGGTAGGGGATACAAAGATTCGAGGGATACAATTCCCCATAGTTTGGGAGATGGAAGGACATTGGCAGGAAATCATCAGTTTATATCCATTTAGCACATTACAGTGGTAACTATTCTTGCCATTGGCTTGTTGTGAGTTTTTCGGGCTGTATGGCCATGTTCCAGAAGCATTCTCTCCTGACGTTTCGCCTGCATCTATGGCAGGCATCCTCAGAGGGTGTGAGGTCTTTCTTTCCATTTCCAACATATTATGATAATATTTATATATTGCCTTTCAAAAGAAAAGCTCTTAAAGTCCTTTACATAGGAAAAACAACACACCAGATTCAAAACCCATCATAATGGCATATCATAAGAAGAACAACTATAATTATCAAGCAAATCCAATCACATTTTAATCTGATGGCACACTGTGAATATCTGTTACACTTTCAAAGTTTCAGGAAAGGAACAGTAAGGGTTCATGTACAGGCTATATATTTTTCCTGCATGTGTAGAACTACAACGGCAAAAAGTTTTATTAAAAATAAGCATCAACTAAACCAATTTTCTTTTGAACTAAGACATTTTCCTACAATGGAAACTAATCAACGTGACAAGGTTTCTACAACCAACAGGGTGAGACAGTAGGCATCTTCTATGACCTCTTTCTATAACAGAAATACTCAGGCTTATATTTAGCACTGGCAAGAGATATCAATTTCACCTCACTCTGCTTAATTTGAGAATGAATCCAAGAAAATTTGGATGACAAATCAACTAAATGCCAGGACAGTTTAGAACAATCCCAGCACGTAAACCAGAAGAGGTAATTTCAGACATCTTATTTTAGCGTGTCCCAAATGATCTACCAGTTGACATTGTGTGCTCTAGATATAACAGGCTGGTAATGTTCCACAATGCCAATGACATTCACTGATATCTTTGGCTAAGATTTATGCAAGGTATTCATCCTGCAAGTTGCAAGAATAGAACCCTTCACTTACAAGATTACTGTAAACCTTTCATCAATCCAAATCACATGTAATCTTATATTAATTCAAGGGGGGGGGGCACTTGTGTTATGACAAAAGGGAGCAGTGTGTCCCTGATAATCTGAGCATGAATGGCATAACTACTGTTGTGATGAATCATGCTAATATTACAAAGACAAGGCAAGCTTTATTCAAGGTCAGCAATGCGGTCTATAGTTTTGAGCACCAAAGTCAAAATAATTTTATAATCGTTGTTAGCATTGTGCCAAGCAATAATAATAAAATAATAATAAAACTCAGGGCGGTTTCTAAAATATATGGCAAATATTGAATGCCAGCAAGGAGAAGCATACAAACACAAAGCGGATCACATCAACATGCTACACTTAGTGGCAGTGTTATTATTCAGGGGAGAAATTCACACATTTTTCTGTGGCATTTCATCATAGTTGTCAATATACTGTAATTTTTTCAATTCTAAGACACACTTTCCCCCATATAAACATCTCTAAGGATTGAGTGCATCTACTAACAATTCCTCAATGGAGTGGAAGTGTGAAGTTGTATGGGAAAGCTTACTGGACTCTTTTTATTTTTCTGTTTGCAGTTTGAAGTTGGGAAAATGTATACAGTCTGGGAACGAACTGGAGGAATGATTTTCTATTGTACAGTTCTCATAGCTAACTTAGGGGCAGGAAGGTACATTTGCATGCTATGATTTTGTTTGTTTATTTCTGTTTTATACAAGCCTTGGATTAATCTTTTATTGGCCTTGACTGCCAGAGGATGGGTGTGCACACTTTAATCCAAGGTTGCCCATATGTCTAACAAAGGAGATTTGATTGGATTGCCAGTTGAGAGATGTGTCTGAAAAATTTTGTCTGGGTGCCCAATTCTACCTGTGAGAGATATCAGGGAAAGGGATGGGATAATTCTGTGCTGTGAACCATCTGCTGCTTTATCAACCAACAACAAAGCTTATGTTAGAGCAATAACCTGTTGCAGAAATACAACTTCTTAGGGAGGAAAGAGCTGGTTACAATGATTCATGACTGCATCACTTACTGATGAGACTACTGTAATGTACTTTAGGCAGGGCTATCCTTTAAAATGTCCAGAAACTACCACTTCGGGGCATAATACTATATCCTGCATTTCCAAACTGCGGAATAAAAGGCTTTCAAAATAAGTCTCATAATGAAATTCATGGATCCCTCCTGCACTGTCAACTGATTTGTTCCCAGACACACACCCCGCCAAAAGCCATCTTTTAATAATTACATGTTCAATGGATAACTTACACAATAAGACATGTGTCACTGCTATAACACTACCTTCACTTAAACTGTAGAAGGCAAATAGCTGATCACAGGTACATCTGTAGCATGATCACACTGTTTGTTACCACACATGATTTAACGGGATCTCAAGGGAACAGGAACCCAACTCCCCAAACCACTTAAAGAGAGAACCTCATGAATAATTCATGTGCAGCTCTAGATCTTTTTTTTCATGCAAATTCACTACTGAGCAAGAAATGGGTACAGTTGTGTTAAATCACAGCCAAGCAATATGAATGTCTGGATTCGTAGGTGCCCATTCAGGAACCTTAAAAATGCTTCCAAAATCACAGCAAATTCTATAATGTTCCTAAAAGAAAGTAGTTAAACAACACTTTGAGCAAATCAATGACAATGATTTAACAACACATTTGTATCCTAAAGAAATAGCTGCAGCAGGGTACTTCAAAGCAGGCCAAAGTAGTTAAAAAAGCAATTAGTTCCATAAAAGCGCTCATAGTATTCAGAACTTAAAGAAAATAATGTAACTGATAAGAATTTCAAAACTACTGTTTCTTTGAAGAGCAAATTGCAGGATGCCTGGGCATCAACATGAAATTGCCCATTAGCATAAAATGGACAGGACTCTCAACAGAACTGGTAATTCAGCACTATGGGGAGTGTGTGTGTGGGGTGAGGGGAGATGAAGCAAATACTTGAGTCAAGAGCAGGAACAAAATTGTGTTATCAAAGGCTTTCATGGCCAGAATCACTTAGTTGTTGTGAGTTTTCCAGGCTGTATGGCCATGTTCCAGAAGCATTCTCTCCTGACGTTTTGCCCACATCTATATCAGGCACCCTCAGAGGTTGTGAGGTCTGTTGGAAACTAGGTAAGTGGGGTTTACATATCTGTGGAATGTCCAGGGTGGGAGAAAGAACTCTTGTTTGCTTGAGGAAAGTGTGAATGATGCAATTGGTCACCTTGATTAGCACTGAATGGCCTTGCAGCTTCAAAGACTAGCTGCTTCCTGTCTGGGGAATCCTTTGTTGGGAGGTGTTAACTGGTACTGATGTCTGGAATTCCTCAGTTTTCTGAGTGTTGCTCTTTATTTACTATCCTGATTTTAGAGGTTTTTTTAATACTGGTAGCCAGATTTTGTTCATTTTCATGGACATTTTCTGAACAAGATTTCAGAAAGACTCTTGATGCACCACCAGAAGATGTTGAAGACATAAGCCACAGTCTTCACTGACCTATTTGTAGATGAGTATCATAGAAGAAAGATGGGACACAAGAGCCTAATTAGCTGCTGCAGTAAATTCTGTCTTGTCCACCAGCTACAGTGCAGAATGAGGTCACCATGCTCTGGGACAGCAATCTAGAAGGTACAGACCAACCCAGGAATGTCATGATTAGATTTACAAATTAACCCTTAAAGTACCAGCTATAAGAGCCTTGAACATCTTGAAAGAACAGAATATAAAGACAATGCAAATCTTTGTCTTGACACCCTCCACAGATGACATCATGGCATACATTCCAGAAATGCTTTGGAAAGCAGCAGTCACTACAACTTGGGCTTCCTTATAGAACGTGTTATTTCCTGTTTAATTGTGAAATACTTATTTATTATTATTTATTTACTCTATTTATATACCACTTTCTTGCCCCTGGGAGGACTCAAACCGGTTTCCAACATAGTCACAGCAAAATTAAATGCCAAACATACATGTGAAAAACCAAACATAAGATCAACAATAACATAACTATGAATTGAACTATTGAAACCATATTAAACCATAAAAACATAAGCAACATTTAGACATTAAAACATATTAATATAATCATTAAAATCACATAATCCAACATTTAGACATCAAAACATATTAATATAAACATTTTCTGATTATCTCAGATTATGTGGCAGTGTGGACTCATATAATCCAGTTTAAAGTAGAAAACCTGGGATCAGATCCTGGGATATAGGGCCTGTCTGGAAGGGTGCTAAGTCACCAGTGCTCTTTAGTTCGAGTTGATGCACCCCAAAACAGTCTCAGACAGGCTCAAAGAAAGAGAAACTTTATTCACAGCTGTGAAGGCAGACGGTACCAGCTGTAGCTCAGCTCAAAAGTGGAAACCGCCGCAGATAAAACACATTCTGTAGGGTTTTTATACCTCCTTGTAAATATCTCAGGTCACAGTTCCAGCCTAGGTCAAGTTTCCAATTTTTGGTCACATTATAAAATCTTCTACTTTCATTGGCTTAAGCTCACCTCTGCATTCTACCAAATTAGGCAGTAAGACAGATAAGCAAGAAGACACAATACACATTGATCCTTCCCAAATGGGAGGGGGTACTCCTACTTTTTCTAACTTTGGTTCCT